AAAAAAAAAGAAAAAACAAACCTTCTTTCTTTCTTCGTGCATTCCATTTGGATCATACACTCGCATATTATTTGGTGCACCTTCATCTTTTAGCAGCTGTCCCAGAAAGCGCCGAAGCTCTTTGCCATCATCATTAACAGCTTGCTTGTCCAGCATCTCTTTTAGCCGGTGTGTATGATACTTGTGCTGCAATTCTATTCCATGACAAAACAAGCAACAAAAAAAAAATATAGAAAAATAAACGAAAAAAACCGGTTAAAAACTGTCAAAAATCCACTCAACTTCGCTCTGCGAAAGGCTAACTATTTCAGCAATTCCAAGCCCAGCATCTTTTTCAAATACTATGTTTTTTTCGTTAACTTGCAAAAAATTCAATCTACTTTTTAGAGCAGGAATTTGGAAGTGTTACGGCTTAAAGTAAAGAATTCAAATCATTTCCTCCGATCCGTTTCAATACTAACTTGGTACTAACTATATAGAAACAACAGTAGTTTACCTCCATATAGTTTTTGGAAGGCTTTTTCCGCCAAAAATCTCACATATCGGCACTTAAGTCCCGGGCGCGTTCAAGCAGCTAAATTTGAAATCTTCTGGTCGTACATGAGTACTGAATATTACCCAACCTTACCTTGGCAATATGCTATCTCACTCGAGCTACTTTTCTAGCGTTTTCGTTTCTCATAGTAAAACATGGTGAACGTTCAAACTTTTCTTGACAAGCATCAAAAGTTGTATTAAACTTACCACATAATTAATTACATGCTCCAATGATCGAACATGCAAATCTACGGCTGCTTGTGAATGTGCTAATTCTTCAGCGCAAAGAGCACAGAAAACGTTTGCTTCATATGGAGCACCCACTCGCATCGAACGACGCTCGATCATATCCGAGAAACCAACCACCGTGTAAATGTATTCAAATTTCTTGAATTTGTCGTTCCAATGCCAAGTTATTTTCTAAAAATTTTAAAGTATGAATTTACAAAGTTACATAAGCTTAAACTTCCTTCCGTATTCATTGTCTGTTAAAGATAAAAGCACA